CTGTGCCTTCTTTCTTTCCCTGTATGTATGTATGATGTTTTAGGTTCTTAGACCTGACAATCATTCACAGAAATAAGGAGAGTTTTCTCACCATGTCTGGACCACAGGTGGTGCCCTCTGCAGCGGGCATGAACTTGGTCTCACATCGATGTCCCACTCGGTGACACCACAGAGACTTGCAGATGTCCTGTCAAACAGGAAACAGACATAAATCAAATGCTTCTTCTGAAGTAAGAGTTGGAGCTGTCCGGAAATCAGCACTTTAATTTCTCTTTATTCTCATTATTTCCCTGAAAGAAGAAGGAACCCATCAAACCAGTCCCAAGCTCCCATTGCCCACAATAAGCAGAGTCCTCGATGTCAGACCAAATCAATGTAGCCTTCTAATGAAAAGGGACCATAATTGCATGTGTCGTCTGACCCAACAAACAAAGACAATGTAAGCAAGTGAGCACAGTGGAAGAGCCGGGGTCGAAAGACAGGCCACCGATGCTGGCAGCTCGCCTGACTGCAAGACAGGAACAGTCTGAAGAGGAGAGAAGGACCAAAATAGACAGATTGTTTGATTCTTTGTCCTCCTGCAGTCCGGCTTTACTGACATCAAGCAGCTGGGTGACAGCGAAGCCAACGTGCTGAAAGCACTGAAGGACAGGAAAAGGGGTGCCCCAAATCCACTGTTAATAGGCAGGGAGGGTGTTCTGCCACCCACCATCTTTTACACACGTCTAAAGCAGGCAGAAGGAGGCGACGACCTGCGCTAAGACGTGAACAACTAACCTGCTGCATGTAAGTTAATCCCTGGATGTACAGTTTTGTGAAGAACATTTCCTGGCAACCCAGCAAGAGGAATGCAGGAAGTATTTTAAATTTACATGTGAATGAGCATCTTTCGATGCACCTATATAGCAAAGGCTTATTTCAACCCAACAACGATTGTTTGAGAGCGGGCACCATCTGAAATAATGCACTTTAACAGGGTCTCAAAGGAAGCAGGCATTAAGGCGCCTGAATGATCACAGGTTCCTCTCGCTCATTAAAGCAGAAGCTGTTGGACCTCAGCGTCGGACAACGAGACACATGAATAGAAAAAATCACAACACCGGGTCCCCATGAAAACAGAACTAATCCAGCTCTATAGATTTTGTTTTTTTTTCCTACAGCTCATAGAGGGCTGCTTTAATCAGCTGTGCTTTAAGCTTGAAGTTGGCATCAGGGATTTGATTTCAGTGGAGAATTAGGTTTGTGGCTCATAGAGGTACTCGCATACATTTCTGTATTTTTACAGCGATGCGTGGCTAAAAAGGTGATGGATGTAATAACAAGACCTTATATGATCAAATGATGCAGAGATTTGGATACTGCAGCTGAGCTGTAGTATCAATCATCCATACTGCTGAAACCCTAACAAGTACAATAAGAAATATGATGGAATAAAGGAGTGAATGTCAGCCGGTAGCACATTTCTGTCCATCTAGGCTAGTGCTAAATTGATTGGACCCAGGATTCCATTTGCCTTTCTGTTCAGTTAAAGATACAATGCAGAGCCAATGTTACTCAGATATGGAAGAGATTTAATCACTGATGCTACAAACAATATAAACTAACATGGTGCATTATTAAAATATTCCAGGAATATTAACGATAAAGTCAAGACATTCACTTTCAACCCTTTTGCTGACTCACAGAGTTTATGTTCAAATTTTAAAGAACAAGATTGATTCAAGGCTTTTGTGATTCAACATTGGGGCATTTAAATAGAAATTATCATAAATCAATAAAAAAATTATTTTTTTTAACGCTGCCCTAATCTAGTCTACAAGGCCAGGCAAATAAAGCACTACTGACAGCAGGTAGATTCAGGGTAACTAACGCTAACCTGACTCCGCCAGATGGATTTGCTCCGCATATCCATCTGGAAACCTTCCGTTGAAGTAATTTTGGGAAGGGG